TCATCTCTCATGTAATATGAAGCCTGCAATGTGGGTGTAAGAGGTGTACTCATGTTCGCGCTTTAGAGTGTTCGTGAAGGATTCATTTTACATCAGTCAACGCAAGTCAGCATCTGCCGTGAATCTCGGCGGCCATAATTATTGGAGCCGCGCCTAACCTTGCCTTGCCACGAACATTTGTGTTCCGAAAAAAATCTGCTGAAGTGCAATGCAAGGCACATCTGCTTCACGATTGAGCAAACCACAATTATTGGCGAGACCGCTGGAACGACAACAAAGAGAAAGTGCTCTGAGGATATAAAGCAACGGTTTCATGTAATCTTGGTCAGATAGTCATAGCAATCAACCTTCCCTCATTAGCTGAGAGCATTTCAGTAGCACAGTCTATCCTCCTCCACTTCATTTCGTCAAGTCGTTAGTAGTCCACTGCAATGGCCTTCTGCGGTGCAAATTCAACTCGTCGCTTCCTGCTATCGGCTTTCTTCGCCGTTCTGCTTTTCGACGTTGCACATGGCGCCGGCGACTGCGGTTACTGTGGCGGAAAAGATTATAACTGCATAAAAAAATGCCAGGTACTTTTGGATGAAGATTTCCGTCACAATGTCTGCTGCTACCGTCGATACTTTTACTCTTCAACTTGAACTGCCTTTTCACCCATTAGCTTGTCACACGCTCGCCTTGTTCGTCTTTTGTCAAAATCCCATCTTATTCTGCTCGCCTCTATCTCCCGTTTACCTCCAGTGCGAAGCGCCACAAAATAAACCGATTCTCTGCACCTACGACGCTGGAGGTTCAACTCTTGGTAAGTCCGCGTCCCCTTTTGCCCGTCACGATGCCTTGCGATGATTTTCGAAACAGCATCTCGAAACACTTCTCGTGGACCTTGCACACCGCTGACAATTATAGCAACACCTGCTGCTACCGGGCGCGCTGCGATGTCAGGACTCCTAATATTCCGAAAAAAAGCACGTCGAATTTATGCGCCTGAAATGCATCCAACACTGACACAAATGCGCTGCCCCCCTGTTTTCCCCTTTCTCTTCCGACTTCCTTTCCGGCAGTCACTTGCCAATACTTCTGCTGGCCGCGCCTCGTACTGGGGGTCGTAGTGCCTCTCGTCACGGGCCTGATTCTCCTCGGCGTCTTCTTTATCATGCGCCGCAACCGTCTGAGCGCGGAGGAAAAATACGCCTCCCATGCCCCGCCTGTCGCAGCCGCGTACCCGCCACCAGGAGGCTATCCCCCCGCGGTTAACGTGTAGTTACTACTTCAGGAGGTTATGGTGACGAACCTCGATAATAAAGAGGCGGATAGAGCTACTATAGCGCAAATGCAACAACGGAAGCGCTGGCCTATATGCCGCCTTGATTATATTGTCTTGTTTGGTTTGAAGTTACTAGGATGGTGTTCTAGTAGCCTTGAGGCCTATCGTGTCTTGTGCTTGCCATTTCGCCAGGCAACGCGTATCATTATTCCACAAGATCAACCCACAGGAGTCGAAATTCCCGCGCCTGGCAACCAGTTTGTCCTAAAAATCGCGCTACACGCTGTTTCGCAATTGCTGTTAGCCGTTCTTGTAATGCAAACAAGAATGCTTATCTAGCTCTGCTCGTCTCGTTCAAGCCGAGGGGTGTGGCATGACCCGACTGGGAATGGTACTGTATGTCCGAGGCTCACGCCGCTCCCTTTTTTATCTCAGTTAAGTATAATTCAATGGTGCAGAACTTAATGTACAACTCAACTCCAGTAACCATGTGAATCATGTTTCAGGCAAGGGGTGCTCACATTCTCGCAGTCTATTTCCACTCTCAGCGCCGGTCAACAGCTGCTGCAAAACTCGGATGCGCAACAAGGGAAGTCAACGCCCACCAACTTCTAAGGGCCCACTGCGTGCCTCCAGAATCCCTCTCAACTATACCACAAGCGAAGCGAGCATATCTCGCCATTTACTTTCTTTCAGCTAGTCTTGGACGGTTGTGCTCCCCCAGGTTGACTCACTGTGACTGGATTGAACTGTAACAGAGCATTACAAGAACACACACCATTACAAGACCACACATTCACAGGGTTGTCAAAACCGACTGATCAAAATGCAGAATCATGGGGATGCAAGAACCGGGAGCCAGGAGGGAGGCGGGAGATTCTGGGATGAAGGCAGGTAGGCAGCCCCAAATGGCATGGCCATATGCGAAGATCATACCAACGACTTTTGAGTCGAATCAAAAGATTCTGGGAAGAAAGGCAGGTAGGCGGCCCTAAATTGCATGGCCGTATGCGAAGATCATACCAACGTACACATTTTCTCACCTGGTAAACAGAGTAAATGAATTTTCGCCGGATCAGCCATATCATTGCAAAAAAGAGGTTATACCCTTCAAGCTTGTACTCGATACAAACATCTAGATGTCTACGCATGTTCTCACCTGATACACGGAATAAATGACGTTTCGTCGGATCTGCCCCATCATTGCGAGAAACAGGTTGTACCCTTCAAGCTTGTACTCGATAAGAGGGTCACGCTGCGCATAGCCCCTTAAAGCCACAGCCTGCTGGGTGAATCTGAGCGCCTGCAGATGCTCCTTCCAAAGCAGATCCATCTGAGTGAGCACAAAGTACCGCTCTGCATCCCTCATTAACCCTGGGACTGCCGATTCTACCTCTGCCTGTAGGAAGGGCGAGGAGGTAGGGTCACAGGGGGTTAGGGTTGAGGTTCGAGAAAGGGATTGAGGTGATATTGAGGGATGACTGGCGGCGTCCCGCGGGTGCTGTGCCATTTGAAAGTGCGCAGTGCCAAGGGGTGAGAATGGTGATGGAGAAACAAGAGCGGTGGAAGGGGTGAAAGTGGGTGCTCTTTCAGCTGATTCATTTTGATAAGCTTGAAGTACCGCTTACGGGATTCTCAGTGGTGAGAAATGGGACAAAGTTTTTCCGCACCTTCTTTGTGTAGTAGGCGTCTTTGCTGCGTTGGTGCAGATAATCCCTTAGGGTGTCTACAGTGTCGCTGTGATAGATGATGTCATCGATTGATAAATCCGTGAGCAGAGCACAGTACCTGCAAGAGGGGGTATGTGAAGGATGAAGAGGGAGAAAAGGAAGGGTACACTCGAGAGGGGATTCGGTGCAATGGAGATAGCGACCGTCTTTCGACAAACCAGTGCTGGGAAGAAGAAGAAGAAAAGAAAAAAAAAAAAAAAATCAACATTACCTCTGGAAGAATTCACTAGAGAATTCCAAATGATTAGCATAAATGAGAAGAACTGCAGCACTTACTGTTTGACCTTCTTTGTAAGAGCCTCGAAGTTCCACTCTTCCTGTGACAGCGATGGGTCGATGTTTGCCTGAGGGAGGGGAGGGGGGGAGCAGATAGTCATGAAAGAGAGGACAGGAGTGGGTGAGTGACCGCATAGCAGGCGAGGTTGACCTTCTTTGTGAGTGCGTCGAAGTTCCACTCCTCCTGTGACAGCGATGGGTCGATGTTCGCCTGAGGGAGGTGGGGAGCAGAATCCAGATGGAGTGAGAGCAGAGCATACATGAACAAGGTTCTTCTCCAGAGAGAACAGCTTTTGAGTCCACTCGGAAATTCTCGAGAAAGAACAGCTTTTGAGTCGACTCGGAAATTCTCGAGAAAGAACAGCTTTTGAGTCGACTCGGAAATTCTCGAGAAAGAACAGCTTTTGAGTCGACTCGGAAATTCTCGAGAAAGAACAGCTTTAGAGTCGACTCGGAAATTCTCGAGAAAGAACAGCTTTTGAGTCGACTCGGAAATTCTCGAGAAAGAACAGCTTTTGAGTCGACTCGGAAATTCTCGAGAAAGAACAGCTTCACAGTATGGCATGGCACCTGACTGCATCGCACGTGACCACATCATACGTGACAATAACACACCTGATCTGACCGCATTGCACCTGACTGAACCGCACCTCACATTGACAATGTCGTTCATGATCAGCTGTGCATACTCCAACATCAGCCCCTCCAGATCGACGAGCACTTTTATCGCACCCAACAGTACCGCACCTGACCTCATTGCACCTGACACCACCGCCCCTCACATTGACAATGTCGTCCATGGTCAGCTGCGAATACTCCAGCATCAGACCCTCCAGGTCAATGAGCTTCACGGCAGGGCATGGTGATACCACCAGTGCCACTTGACCGCATCACACCTGACCGCATCACAGCTAACCACACCACACTGCACCTGACTCCACCACCCCTCACATTGACAATGTCGTCCATGGTCAGCTGTGCATACTCCAACATCAGCCCCTCCAGATCCTCTTGTCTCCAGCGCTCTCCTTCTCTCCGAATAAAACCGCTCCCTCTGGCTGTTTAGCACCTGGTGTGGTGGGGGATGGAAGAGCCTCATACTGCACCAATGCCTCACAGCCATCACCGCACATGACCGTATCACACCACACCACATCTTCTGTCTCCAGCACTCTCCTTCTCTCCGAGTAAAACCACTCCCTCTGGCTGTTCAGCACCTGGTGTGGTGGGGGTTGGGACAGCACAGGTTAAAAATGTGTTAGCACTCACAACCATCACCGCACACCACCGTACCACACCACACCACATCTTCTGTCTCCAGCGCTCTCCTCCTCTCCGAGTAGAACCGCTCCCTCTGGCTGTTCAGCACCTGGTGTGGTGGGGGTTGGAAGGGCACAAAGTACAACCGGCATGCTGAAGACAGAGAATACATCCGTCACCACACATCACCAGATCCTCTGTCTCCAGGGCTCTCCGTCTCTCCGAGTAAAACCTCTCCCTTTGACTGTTCAGCACCTGGTGGGGGTCGGAAGAGTACAGATGGGTAAGCCAGGCACTGCAATACGTAATGCTGCAGCCCCGCTACCCTTCATTCATGCATCCTTCACGTACCCTCCGTTCATGCAAGTGTGTGGCTGTATGTGTGTGTGCGCATGTGCATGCATGCATGTTCGCATTTTCGCTTGCATGTCTCTGCATGTGTTCGCACATCCTTGCATGCATGCATGCAGGTATGTGGTGGGAGTGGACGCAGATGACTCAGCCATTGCCACAGCACAGGCCAACTGTCAAGAGTATGAGGTGTGCCTTTTAATCGTCTCTCTATAAGAATGTATCGTTTCCTTAGGTGCCTCTAAAATAGGCTCCTCGTGAAATTGAAGCTGTATTTTAGACGCCTCTAAAAACAAACTCCACGCAAAAATGTAGCATGCGGGTGGAAGGGGTTGTGTGGCAAGAAACCTCAGGGATGCACAGGGGTTGTGCAAGAGCCAACTGTGCTTATCGTGCCCAAATGGCTGGGAGACGGAGGACCATTTTTGGTCTCTTTGTTTTGTTCATATATGTTCGGTCATGTTACATCATGTATTGTTATGTTTGATATGTTATGCTTCGTTACCTTAATCACATGCAGTACACTAGAGTGTATCTATTTCTCCACCAGAGCGGATGCTATTCTGTATGTTTATTGTGTACCTTTGTGTATGAGCAGATTGACATGGACTTCATTCAGGCGAAACTCCCCCACTTGTCTCTCACTAGTTAAGCCTCTGACTCGATCCTTCCTCGGCCACCCTCCTCTTCCTCCTGTTTGTCCTTGGTACTGACCCTAAAGGCTGCCCTTCCAAAAAAAAAGAAAAAGGAAAAAAAACTCGGGGCACTCTGTTTTTGGGGCTTCTGTTTGGATAATGATGAGAAACGATGCTCTCCTTCTTTCTCATAAGCTGCAGCCCTATTCTTCTCCTTGCTCATTGATTCGTCACTCATCTCCCTTCGTTCTAACATACCTCCATTACTCTCAATCGCGCTCCCAATATTTCCGGTTTCTCTCTCTCCGTGTCCCCAACTTCACTTCCTTTGCCCCTGAAACGCGCATCCTCTAATCGAGAAGCAGCCTGTGCCCCTGAAACACACATGCCATTTTTTTATTTTTTTATTTTATTTTTTTATTTTTGCCGCCCCGGGAATAGAATGACAAACTCTTCCCTTGACACCAGAAGCATCTTCTTTAAGGCGACTCATAAGTTGAATCCTGCTCTTGCTTGCTTCCTGCAGGCGGCTCAGTTGAGGTGGTGGTGATGAACCCTCCCTTTGGCACGAGATGACTTCTGAGTCGACTCAAAAGTCGTATGTCATTTTGAGTCAACTCTAAGAGAATGGATTCCTTCTCTTGCTTGCTCATTGCAGGAGGCTCAGTTGAGGTGGTGGTGATGAACCCGCCCTTTGGCACGAGAACCAAGGGTGCTGACATGCTCTTTTTGGCAGCAGGGCTCAAGGTGAGGTGAGGTGGGGTACAGAGTCCACGTCTGCGAGGCCCATGTGGTCAACACGTGTGTGAGGTCCATGTGGTCCACACGTGTGTGAGGCCCATGTGAGGTGGAATACAGAGTCCACGTCTGCGAGGCTCAAGTGACATGGAATACTTCATTCCTTGACAGAGTCTCAAATTGCCCTTTCGCACTCAAACCAAGGTGGCATTCGAACCGAGGCAGCAACGTGCTCTTTTTGGCTGCAAAACTTATCGTGTGGCACAGTGCCATAAAGAGGGAAATCCTTATAAGGATAAGAGGTTGATCGAGTGGAGTTTGATCAGGAAAATGTGTTTCCAATATATTTTTGGCATTGCGTATGTGGATCAGCTCAGGATGGGTAGCATGCTATGGTGACTGCTCTTCCATGCACAGCTCACAGACAAGTATCAGCACTGTTGTTCCCTCCATGTGCTTCTCCTCACAGGCCTTTTTCCATGCTCTGTCCCCTGTTGATAGTGACTCCTAACTTCCTTTCTCTTGTACCCCTTGTCCTCTTGTGCCCCTTGTTGTTGTGTATCCTCTTGTGCCCGCGCCCTCTTGTCTCCCTCGTCCTGTTGTACCCCTCACCCGCGCGGGCTACTTCAGGCTGCGTCAGTAGCCGTTTACTCGCTGCACAAATCATCGACTCGAGAGGTGTACATTTCCCCCTTCACTTTCCTTTTTTCCTTTTGTCATTTTCCTTTCGTTTCCTTGTTCCCCTGACAACCTCGCTTCGCTTGCTTCTCCAGATTCATTTGGATCCAAACCACTTTCTCTCCCTTTTTCTCACTTCTCTCCTAGCCTTCTGCCACCCTCCTCGTTGTTACCCCCAAATTGCTCCTGTACCTTATCCATTACCTCACCCCACCTACCCTGCCTAGAGTTTTGTTTCATACGTCTTCTGATGTTTCTGAATGTTTACATTACATCAGCTTGGCCTGGCATTCTGGTTGGTTGAGTCATCCCACCTGCATCTTTTTGTATCACGCTGTACATTTTTTTCCTTCTCTTCTTTCTTTATGTATGCACCAGCATGTACAACGGGCAGCGCTAAGAGATTTTGGTGCAAAGAGTGCTGAAGTGTTGTATCAGGTATGCACTGTGTTGAAGTACTTTCATTTCTATATGCAAGTTACTAAGGTTGGATCTTGATTAACGAGGCTTTATGAATTATTGTGAACCTCATGTGTTGTGCAGGTTAGGTACAATTTACCAGCAATGTACAAATTTCATAAGAAGAAAGAGGTAGACATTGAAGTCGATTTGTGGCGATTCGTGTCTTGTCGAGGATAAATGCTGTCTTCTCCACGTGAAAGTCGAGGCGAGGATCATCTGACACCACCAATCACCAGTGTGCCTGAATTCTCGGCTTGCCCGTATTGATTGGTCGCGTTCCGGTTTTTTTACAACCTACAGCCCGGTCCGCGGGCAGGCGAACTTCGTCAAATTCCTGTCTTGGTGATGCTCATCTATGCTTTTGAGTGCTGTTGGCTGAATTCCTCACCTAGACTGATTTGAAGTGTGGTTCCTCATATTGAGGTTGCTGGACCACAATTGCAGCAGGCAACCTCCATGACCATTTGGTGGTACAGTACATTTGGACCGGCTGATTCTGTGATGTGATGCTGCTGCCCGTGAAAGCGAACTTGCTCACTAGCATGTCAACGACACGCATATCACTTCCCCGACAAGGACGCATGTTTTCAGGGTAACTCCTGGTTTTGACTGGAAGTTTGAAATTCTGTTTGGCGTTCCTAAGTTCAACACCCAGCAACTACAAGGTACTTCTGGATGTATACGTTGCATAGTGTATTTCATCCCTCCCCCCCCACCCCCCCCCTCCTCCTTCCTCCCTCCCCCAAAAAGAGAGACCTCTGGACGGTTCCATTGAAAGATATTTGCCTTTAAATTCCTTCCACATAAAACCCGCAGCTACCCTCGGGATGACAAAATACTCGCCTATCCTTATCTCTCAGAAATTCTACAATTAATTAAAACTGAAACCGTTTCTGGGATAGCCTGATTTATCAAGCGGTTTAATCCGTTGCGTCCGGGCTGGCAGAAATTATACTTCAGCCATGTGCGCGAAAATTGGACCTAACCGCGCTTCAACAAAGCACTTCAGGTCCATGTGCTCCATTGGCCACATACTTTGGCAGGGCCAATTGGTTGGGAAAAGATAGGTTTATGACGTGGCAATTGTAAATTGCGTAACACCTGGCATTTTCAACTTCATTCCAAGGATCGACGGTCTAGATTCGTTATGTCGGCTGAATGGGTGGTGATATTTCCAGTAGCAGCAGTACAGTTGTTGGACGCTCAGTCGATCTTCGATCAATTCGAGTCTACGGGAGAAGCGAGTGACCCACGACAAGCGGGTCGCTCGGCTAGATCGCCAACCCCAGGCCGATAATGTAGATCGACGGCTTTGAGCTCTTGGGCCTTACACATCCCTGATTCACACGCAGTCCAAATTCACCACTCCAGCCTTGCCCTTGAAATCAGACCAGAAAGTGGAGATCATGAGCGATTAGAAGCACAGCAGCAGAGAGTGTGCGGAGTTAGATTTAGCCCGTTGAGCTTTAGCTTGAGTTGCTAATTCCTTCTGAGAACCGCTATCACTTTTTTCCTTTGTTTTCCCCATTGGTTTTTCCTTCGGTGGCGTCGAGGTGTCTACAATGCCGATTACTATGATTGCGTCTCGCATCTCGAAGCTGTTGCTGGATTCGGATCTTAAGGATGGCTTCTTCAAGGTCTTTAAAGTCACATCGACCACTGAAGCATTTACCATCAGCTTATTCCAAGGCGGAGCACGTCCATGGGAAGGCTATGACCATAATTAGCATGCTAGCCATGCTCGTGCTGACTCCTCCGATCGCCATCTACATGTAAGATAACGTACTAAGAATATGACACACTGGACTGACAAAGACACTTCAACTATTGAAATTGATCAGTAATAACAAAAGTGATAGCTAACTTCCTAAATGTTACTCGTTTCGAGGTGCAGGTGGTTCATTATGGCCAAAACGGACGGATCGATACTCAAATTCTGGCAATTTTTGGAAAGCAAGGAGTCCATTATGGATGGCCTCTTGGAGGCCTGGCCGTCGCCCTTTTACCCCATCGCGTGGAAAATAATTGGCACATTCGCAGCTTTCGAAGCACTTCTTCAGGTGCGTTTTGGTTCGACCTGGTCAGAATTTCGACGTCCTGATCAGCTAGAATCACGATAAAGGGATGTATCTAAGCGTCTATCAATCCCTTACTTCGGCAGGTTCTCTTGCCTGGAAAGGAGTTTGTTGGACCAGTTTCACCAGCTGGAAACCGACCAATCTATTGGGTAAGATTCAATAGGACGAACATACTAACACCCTGTCGTGTCACTAGCCGCTACCGTCGTTTCGGAGGCATCTGCCTCCTTCTCACCATCCCTCCACCTGTCGCGTGTATTTCCTGATTTTGCACTCAGTGGGAGAGAATTCCAAATTTCTAAACAAGCACCTCCCAAAACTTCATATGTCCTGCAGTGTAACGGATTCCAAGCCTACATGGTCTCCATTGTCACTTACGTCTTTATCTGGAGGTAGAGCCTGCCTCGGAATTGCTTGCTGGACCCACCACCTCGCTCATGGTTTACGAGTCTGCAAATTCTCTGCATGTTTTTGGATTTTCGCATTTTCTTTGGAAATTGCTCATGCATCATGTGCTTCACAATTTTCACAAATTAACCTGTCCATGAAAACTGTCATACAGCAGACTGGCGATACTCATCTGACTCCCTCCCTTCCTGTCATCAGAGCCGGGTGGTTCAACCCATCCCTCGTGTACGATAACTTCGGCAGCATCCTTTCTGCTCTCAACGTCGTCAGCCTACTCCTCTGCCTCTTCCTCTACGCCAAGGTATGCTCTCTCACTCATGCTCGTCGACTCATTTTCCTGTTTTTTTTTTCGGTTTTCTTGTCTCGTCTGATTAAATTGGCCCAGCAGTGCAAGTCAAATGACACTCCCTGCTCTGTGGCTGGCTTGTGCAGGGTCACCTTGCTCCGTCGTCCTCTGACTGGGGGTCTTCTGGAAACTTCATCCAAGACTTTTTCTGGGTGAGTGTCCTTTCCCGTCTGCCTGTTCTGCTGTCGCCTCTTTTTGTCACCTCGTGACGTGACTGTACCCGTTGCTGCGCTGTCCGTGACCACGTGTTGGCAAGCAATCATACACCAAGACGTTCACCAACAGCCATCCTTTTGCCTGTGCGCCTGTCTGTCTGCACACTTACATCCACGATGTCGTGATGTGCTTCTCTTTCCGCATTCCACTCTAACTCTCAGGGCATGGAGCTGTACCCACGCATCGGCAAGTACTTCGACATCAAGACCTTCACCAACTGCCGCTTTGGCATGATGTCATGGGCGCTGCTGGCCGTGACCTACGCCATCAAACAGCTGGAGGCGAGCGGGCGCGTGGCAGACTCCATGGTTGTGAGCGTGGCGCTCATGCTTGTGTACATCTCCAAGTTCTTCTACTGGGAGTCGGGGTACTGGAGCACCATGGACATCCAGCACGACCGCGGTGAGCCTTTTTGGAACCAATGAACAGCAGTGCTTCTTTTTCACTTCTGTTGGGAGTTGTCGCAATATCACGGGTTTGGGTCACCTCTACTCCTTGTCGTTCGCGAATCCATACCTGGGATGTTTCAGCTTGTTCTGCCTGAACCCAATTGTGTCCACCCAATAAACACCGTCTCCTTCTCCACATCCTCTGAATTGCCTCTGACTGGACTCATCTATTCCCGTATTTGGTTTCTGCTCTCCCTGACCCTCCCCTCCCCTCACCTCCCATCTACCCCTCCCTTTCCCTTTCCTTCTCTCTTTGTGCTTCTTCAATCCCGGCCCTCCTGCTGCTCCCATCAGCCGGCTACTACCTCTGCTGGGGATGCATGGTGTGGGTGCCCTGCATCTACACCTCGCCCGCCCTCTACCTCGTCAACCACCCCCTGCACCTCGGCACTCCTGTGAGTACCGGTCCTCCCTGCGTGCCTCTCTGCGTGCCTGCTTGTCTGCCTGCTTGCTTCTCTCTCTGCCTCCCTGCTTGTCTCCCTGCTTACCTCCCTACCCATTCCCATAGTTTCTTTTCCCCCAATCTGCCCTCCTTGCATGCATTGAACCAGTTTTGTTCATGGGCTTCTAGTCCGCTCATTCCCATCTTCCAGCCGACTCATCAGTCTGAGGTCGTCTATCTCCCTCTTCTTCCCCTCCGCAGGTCGCTCTGGCTATGTTTCTGTGCGGCTGTGCGTGCATTGCAATCAACTACGACTCGGACCGCCAACGACAGTACTTCCGGTCCACACACGGCCGCTGCACCATCTGGGGCCGCCCTCCTGCCAAGGTGGGCTTCATGACCCCTGTCAAGGTGGGCCTTCCGGCCAGGAATATGTCATTTGCCTGTTTTGAGCTGCAAAAAGGCACAGAATGAACCAAAGAAACCGTGCATTAAGACTTCGTGAAACGAGCTGTCATCCATCCCATCGCCCTCCTCATCTGTGGTGCAGATTGAAGCAGAGTACGTGACAGAGAAGGGCGAGAACAAGAAGAGCCTGCTGCTTGCTTCAGGATGGTACGAACCATGCTACTCTTCCATTCATACTCCATACATGTCTCCCAAATTTTTCCTGTAGTTTATCCTACACTGTTCTCCCTGCTAGCATGACCTCGCCTCCTCGCCTTCTCCTGCCTTCAACCGTTGCAACCCTTGCTGCTGTGTGTTTGATTATCGCCCTTGCTGCTGTGTGCGGTGCAGGTGGGGGCTCTCACGCCACTTCCACTACGTGCCTGAAATCCTTGCTTCTTTCTTCTGGACCTTCCCAGCGCTCTTCAACAATGTAAGGCGCTTCCACACGCACTGTACCATGCACTTTGTTCCATAAGGGGGGTAGCTCACAAGCAAACTAACTGACCATGCTGTGTCCGCATGTTCCATAGTTACCTTCTCGCGTTTCAGTTTCCCATTTCCTTTGATAGCGATTCTCTGTCTCGTTTTCCTTCCCTGTGCTGCACTCTAACAGGGAATTCAGTATTTCTACTGCATCTACCTCACAGTCCTCCTATTTGACCGAGCTGTTCGTGATGACGTGCGCTGCAAAAAGAAGTGAGTTTTGTTGTTGCTAAGCTGTGAAACATGTGAGATTGGCATTGTGTTGTGGGAAGTGAGTTTTTCATTTGCTGGGGCGTGGGACTACTACCACTTACTTTCTCGTTCGTACCCATGTTCTCCACCCTCCACCCTCCTCCCCTTGTCACTCCATTTACCTACCCACGTGTTTTTCAGGTATGGCAAGTTCTGGGACAAGTACTGCAAGTTGGTACCTTACAAGGTGGTTCCTGGCATCTTCTAGAACAGGCCCTTGTCATAATGTATTCTTTTAAGTTGTATACACGCTTGCTGGGCGTGCTGCCCGCAATTCATCCAGAACATCAGAGTTTGGAGAACGTTTCCCTGCTACAATTTCTAAAGCAAAAATATGCAGGTAGAGATACTGTGAACAAAATAGTGATGCATGATATTGTTTGAAAGTTTTCTTACCAGCAGTAACGCAATTCTCATGATGTTGTGCTATGTGCTCAGCTGATGGCTAAACAATAAGTTTTCACATCAGCAGGCAGGCAGTCCGTACTCTAAACGACACTCCCCTAGCTTTTCAAGGTAGATAGTATAATACGAGGATTGGCTGTACAAAAACGCCATTCTGATACTGCGTGTAGAAGTCCTCCAGCTTTCCCCCAATTGTGTCCAGATGCTTCCAGCCCTCTATAAGCTTTGGCATGCGCAGTGGACCGTACACCCTGTGTGCGTTAAAAGCAATAGTGTCATTTCCCACGGGTACTCCCAAGTAAAATAGCCCTTCTCTCTTAACCAGACCCTGGATCTGAAAGAAGGGCAAGAAGGGAGAGGGAAAGGTGAGATGCGGAAATGGGTTACGAGGGGAAAGGGTGGGATTCTCTACTGGAAGACACATGGACAGACACCTGACCTGACACAACAGACAAAAACCTTCTTTCATGCAGTAAACCCACAGCAACTTATAGGGAGGAAGAGGGACCACCCACAACCCATCTCAACCACTCTGTAGCCCTGAACACACCTTCTTCATCCTTTGCAGGTCGCCCGTGGGATTCATGGGATCGCCGTATCTCCCCAATCCGTCGTGCTCGATCGACGAGAACGAAACGATCACGTCAAACACGTCATCTATCGCATCTAATTGCTCAATCGAGATAGACTTGATCCTAGGGTGTGACACCACAGGAGGGTTGAAATCAACGGTCGTGATCGACCCTGCATCAGCTGCAATGCAGATCGCTTCCACCCAAGGAGTCTGACTGCCAATAATCAGTACACTCTTTCCTCTAATCGGATAACGATCAAACGCCTCGAAGCAAAACAATGACGACGACTCGTCGTAGCCGCTGAGCTGCCCGGATGACAAATCTCTTGAGCGGGCCACCTGGAGCATGCTGTTGATTTGCTCGTCTGTCCAAACGGGTGGGACCGCGCCGGAATCTGGAGCGTCGGTATTGAAGAAAAACGGCTGCACTGCAATCTGGCCGTTCATTGTGTAGAGGTCGCGAATTGACGGCCGGATCCAGTCCCACGGCACAGGTCCGGGAAAACCGAAGCTGTCTATGCGAAAGCGAGACGGACGAACGGTCTGCTTGAGCGACATCGGTGCGGTAACCACTGCAGATGCATTTCGTAGGGAATCATTGCGAGGCACTACTGTATCTGTAGAGTCAGAGAGGTTAGTGGAAGTTAGCTTCGAGTCCCTAACAGCGACAGGTAGGAGGACGGAATTGGATCCCGATAATAGAGTGTTTCGGTGTACGCTTATCGAGTCAGCTTGCGGGGATATCGTAACTGTTTGTAGGGATTCCAGAACACGAACGGGAATGCAGGGAGGGGCAATAAACGGGGGAGGGGAGGGAGGGGAAGTGGGTGGGTGGGGGGAGGGGGGAATGACCGAGATGGAAGGGGATGATTAGCCTAAATTATGCCCCTGTCACTACATTCCAAATTACTTCCGACTCTAAATCGGCAAATGTTCAACGAATCTGGTGCAGCCTCGCACTATGAACATGAAAAAACAGGTGTTTCTCATCATGTGTCAAAACCTTCAGACGCTAACAGGTGCTGTCCGTTACCTTGCACAGATCCATTTTCGAGAATAACGACGGCGAGGAAGGTGAAAGAGCACACAATGAGGACCTCCTTCCACATGATGCCGCCTTTTCCCATTGCAGTCACTGCCGTTGAAGTTAACATCCTGTAACTTCTTAACGGATCTGCGTGTTATCCAACTCTGCCGTCACGGGATAACTTAGTCGGAATGAATGAAACGAATAAAAAGATTTATTGAGATCCTGTCCGTGGTTTTGACACCAGCTGTTTATGCGTGTCAACCCGAGTCAGCCCACTTTAGCCGTGTCAACCACTGTAGCAGCTGGGTTAAATCGAGTCGCGCCTACGGAAATTTGCGACGAACCTCATTGGTGGGACACGAAAATGTGTCCTTGTGCGATTTTATGCACGTGCCTAAACGTTAGGCGCAACACCCACGTGTTGGATGGCAATTTGTGGAGCATTTTACACTAATCTACTGACAATATAATTGGGTGAGAGCGAATCGCCAGCTCTATCGATGCGAGAATCTCGGTTGGATGGTGTGAGCTGCGACTCTTGGCGAGCGGGATATCCGATGATTTTGAGAGGATGACATTGAGCTATTTTTTTGACACCAACCAACAATGTATGTTCGTGTCAACATTCCAAAATGACACTGGTGTCAAAACTACGAACAAGCCCTGAGAACCGTAAAATGCACCATTCTTCTGCGCACAATAAAGGACGTGGCGAATGAATTAGGTAGGAGGAACATGATACATTCGAGAACGGGATGAGGTGTGGTTATCAGGTGTGTACAGTATACAATACGGTTTCAAGGTTTTGGGTGAGGGGAGGCGGTTTCGCCAATTCCACATGAAATACCCATCATGATTCGACTCTTTTCGCATATTTCGTCAAACAGCACGTCGCAAGCGAGCAAACCGTTCGCATAACTCGCATTACCTATTGCAAGCTGGTTTGGAATGACAGGCTGTGTTGAGTTTGTGTCCTTTGGTAGGACCCATGGTGAAGTGTGGTGCAATACGCATTTCTGTCTGCTGGGTTTGTTCAGGTGTTGGCGAAACGAGGGACCTGGTAATGAATGCGAGTCACAATTTTCGGTGGCTTCGTGAACCAGCTTTAACCATCAACTAATCATCTCTCATGTAATATGAAGCCTGCAATGTGGGTGTAAGAGGTGTACTCATGTTCGCGCTTTAGAGTGTTCGTGAAGGATTCATTTTACATCAGTCAACGCAAGTCAGCATCTGCCGTGAATCTCGGCGGCCATAATTATTGGAGCCGCGCCTAACCTTGCCTTGCCACGAACATTTGTGTTCCGAAAAAAATCTGCTGAAGTGCAATGCAAGGCACATCTGCTTCACGATTGAGCAAACCACAATTATTGGCGA